GAAACTCAAGTGAAAAGGGACTTTACAGTTTCAGTATCTTATTAGAGAAATCATGATCATGGACCATTGCTATATCAAGGAAATTCTCAGAAGAAGTTCAAAAGTTCCAGGCCAGCCTAAGTCAGTTAGTTTTCATTTACCCTGACTGTCATATTGATATCAGTGTTGTGATTTTTATCTACTTAATGCATTTTTTCCTGCTTTTATGTAATATACCATTTGTCCCTTACAGGTGGAGCTACCATCTCACAAGAAACTCCTGCCTGATTTAGACATTACTGAAGATGAGGTAGGTCAAGCCTTCACTTCTTGGCGAATTTTTGTTTTTAACTAATTTATTTGTAAGAATTGACAGTGACAAATGTAGAAACTCAAGGATTTTATTCCCCAGATATTCATAAGTGTGTATAAGAGGGCATTCCATCTGAATGACCAAGACTTTTATTATAATGGGGAGAAAGACGAAAATCAAATTTCTCTAAGCACCTCAATATCTAGTGCAATCTTAGGTGGTCTTGAGCTTAAATGGTCTCTAATGATGATGCTATTCAAGGTTATGACACATATTCCATAAATTATGTAAATATTTTTGTTTCCACTTTGGTCAGGCTGAGGAGTTAATCCAGACAGTGATCCACCTGTGCACCCAGTCCTTGATGATGACGATGTTGTACCATGAAGTCAATGGATTTGAACAATATGTGTTGGCCAAGCTGCTGCCAGACCATGCATATGTAAGGAATACTGTTATACATTTCAACATCATTGATTACCAGTCTAAGACAATATGATTCCTGTTAATAGTTTTTATTTTTAGAATGCATGTGTTTTGAATTTTTAAGTTTGAAAATGAGAATGAATTAATATTTTTGATAAAAAGGCTAATATGAAAATTGCAACTCAACTTAAATTTGTAAGGCTTGACAGTGAACAGGTCTGTGTGCATGAACTAAATACAAGTATTGAACTGCTGCATCTGTCTATACACTTTACAGTTTTAGAATTAAGCAAAGTAAAATTATCATTTCTAACTTGAATTTTAGATATTCAAAGATGAAATCACTACACTGAATGAAGGTGGCATTCTTCACGAGCATGAAACAATGACTGGAGACACCCATCTTCTTTGCAAAGCGCATCTTAATTGTTACCTGCTCGAAGCTGGACTGACAGAATTTCCCATGGAAAAGTTTCAAATAGATGGCACCTCCTACACAAGACTGATCCGCTCCCTACGCCTCCCCCAGAATGATATCAAGGCACTGCCGGAAGATTTCTTTCCATCTTTTCCATCTCTGGTGGAGTTTGATGTTAGCCACAACAAGCTTTCAATACTACCAAAAGGGATTGGGAAGTGCAAAAAACTATGTGGAATTAACGTTAAGAAAAACAATCTTCAGAATCTGCCAGAGGAATTACTGGAGCTCAAAGACCAACCTCTTCGATTAGAAATCTCTGAGAATCCAATCCATTCACTTCCAGAAGTCATTTGCCACCTTGAAAACCTGCAGCGTCTACTTGCCAATAACCTACTTTTGACAAGCCTGCCTGAAAACTTTGGCAACTTGAAAAACCTGAATTATCTCACCTTGAAGCACAATTGCTTGCAGGTCCTGCCTTCGAGCTTCAAAAACCTCAAGAAACTCAAGTCTCTCAGTTTAGAGGGATTTCCATGGTTCAAACACAAACCAAATGGGTTTCTGTCACAGGAAGACTTTGGGGAATTCTTGAAAGGAACCTATGCCGACAAGTGGCTGGAGATGCATAAGGAGGTATGTCCCATTTCTTTGTGTATTTTATATTACATTTTATGGAATGAACTACCCTCAAACATTCAGACTATAAATAATGTTGAGGTTTAAAAAAAGACTTAAAAACATTCTTATTTGCACAGTACTTCAATTAATTTTGATACTTGAAATCACATATTTTCACACAATAATTGCAATGACTTTTTCCTAAACTCTAAAAACCATCATGTCATTAGACTTAACATACTAATGTAGTATTTCACAATATTCAGTAATAATAAAGTAAAATTAAAAGTCTTAATTGCAGTGTATGTGGTACCAAATAAGGAATATATAGCTGCCATTTTCTCAGTTATGAGTACCTACATCTCTTCTTCTCCAGGACAAGGCCTCGTTATACGAATTCTTTGATGAAGACTCCAATGGTCTGTTGGATGAAAAAGAGATTGCTAAGCTGAATGCATGTTTGTTCCACATATTTCCAAGGTTTAGAGGAACTGAAGGTGTGTTTTTTTTCTCTTATGAAAAGGGAGGCCAAATAAAGTGCTATTATAATAAATGTAGAGAGAGATTTTTATGTAAGAATTCTCTCAAAATTTGTTGAACAAAAATTTATGATCAATACATTAAGCGCTTAAGCTGGAGAGTTTTTCAAAATGAGAATTTCAAATCATTACACAAATTTCAAGATGAAAATTTAAGTTGACTGTGATTATTCAAAAACTACAATTGTGTTACTGTGTAATTTACATTTTTAGAGGAGAGTGGTATCCCGGCAGAAATCCTGGAGCTCGAAAACCTAGAATATCTTGACCTGCAGTTCCAAGGTATAACCCACATCCCCGATACAATCAGCAAACTCCACAAACTTCAGGAACTGGTAGTCTCCTTCAACCCGTGTCTAGAGACCATATCCCCTCTTGCTGGGAAGCTACCTCTTAAACGATTAGTTCTGGACGAGTGTCCCTCTATTCGTACTCCACCAAAGGAGATCATCTCCAAGGGGTTCCAGACCATCTATGCCTATCTGCGACGTCTGATTTCTGGGTCTGTGGAATGCAAGAGAACGAAATTGATGCTCGTAGGATTGGGAGGGGTCGGGAAAACAAGGTGAGAGGGAAAAATTAGATTAAAATTTAAGACTATCAGCTAAGCTTATCCTAACCTAGGCCAATGAAACAGTTGAGCTATAAAAGTAAAATGTTTGATCATTTATGTCATAGCCAGTGTATTCTAGATTTGATGAGATGTGGTATAAGATGCTGATTATGTCCAACATAAAGAAGGACCAGCCTTAAGGAAAAATTCCTGTGTTCTTTGTGTGCGTGTGTATGTGTGTGTGGGGAGGGGGTGAAGCATCTCTCATGCATTCCTGAAACTTTTAACCTGTAGAATTTAAAACTTTTAAAACCTGAGAATTAATTAATGGATTAAAAATAGTTTATATATTTATTTTTTCTTTATTTTTGTCTTCATAGTCTGGTGAAAGCCATAATGAGTGGCGGTGGCGTTGGGGAGACACAAGAGGCGATACCCCAGGTGACTGATGGGATAGATATCTGTACTTGGACTGTAACACGAGAAAAAGAAACTGTCAGCTATTCTGTGTGGGATTTTGCTGGGCAAACTGTCTACTACAATACCCATCAGGTAGGTGCAAAGATTGAGAATTTTGAAAAATATGATTAAATATAAGATTTCATGAAAAGAAATTAAAAAATAGCAGAAAAGTACAATTTTAAAATTGAAAATTTATAATGTTGCCCCAGTATATCAGTTTTTCTCCAAATGAGTTTTTTATTGTCTATTTTTCATATTTGTTTGTTTTTTTAATTTGTTCTTTTTTTTAAATTATTCATCAATTTTTTACTATTATTAATATTATTTGCTCTCTTCCAGTTCTTTCTCTCAGACAGAGCAGTCTACCTTCTCCTGTGGAACATCCGCCAAGGTCATGAGCATGCTGGGCTTGACTTCTGGCTGAACTCCATAGCCGTCCACGCCCCCAAGGCCCCCATACTGGTGGTAGGCACTCATCTGGACCAGGTGTCCAAGGTGGAGATCCCTGTGGAAGAAATGCAGCAGAAATACAGCCAGATTAAAGGATTCCATTTTGTCAGCTCTCACAGTGGACAGGTGGGTACTGGATTGTGGTAGGTGAGACAGTGTAAGTTTTAATACATTGTGTTGAGTGAGACACATTGTGTTGAGTGAGATACATTGTGTTGGGTGAGACACATTGGACTGTATTTTATAAGATATGTCATACAGGGCACAGCAATTTGTAAAGTAAGGGTACACAGCAAAATACAGCCAAATAAAAAGGGTTAAGCTTTTTATATCTGCCTCTATGAACAGGTGGTTAGAATAATGTATTAGGTGAAACATCACTAGGGTTAGATGCATGTGTTAGTTGAGATCCATGATATTATGCAAGACCATTGTTATGGGTGAAATTGTTCTGGAAATTGAACCTTGTGTAAAGGTTGATAAATTGGCTAGGAAGGTTATGTATTAGGTAAGCTTATTTATTTATTTCGTTCATTATTTACATAATATTTCTCTATGCTTGTTTGTTTTCCAAAATTTTTTTATTTTTAATTTAAGTTTTACATAATTGTATTGCAGGGCATAAAGGACCTTCAGGAGATGTTGCTTGATGTGACTTTAGAGCAGCCCTACATTGGAGAACAGATCCCTCAAGTATGGCTCAACTTGGAGAAGGAGATTATCAAGTGAGTGCGTTTTTATGTCATGTAATGTGTTGTGGTGTGTATGAATACATTTTGTTGTCCTTTTATAAGAATTTTGTTTTTAACTGTCAGTTGACAATGCTAAGTTGTGCACTGTCAATGTATTATCTCATAAAAGCAAAAAATATATACACAGATGTATATACATATTCCATGACATATTTAATGGATATTTTAGTGAGATGCAGGTTACAGTATCTGATCTTATATTCAATAAAAATGTGTGGTACATTACTAGATTATTTCTGTGTTACTTATTTCACTGTTTACCCTCCCTGTTAACTTGTTGTTTTCAGGTTGCGAACTACAGAAAGTGTTGTCTCCTATGTTTCCCTAGAAGATTTAGCATTGACCAAATCAGGAATATATGACAAGTCAGAGGTAAAAATTATGATATCACACAAAGTACACTTTGAGAGACTGAAAATTACAGTAGCCTGGCTATTATGTATTAACACACCCTCTGATGTTGAGTAGAATACAGAAAGGTTGGGGATCATATGAATACATTGGAGAAATTCTGTTAATACGATTGCATTCAGCAAGAGTTCCTGTGGAGTTGGATCGATCTACGTAGAAGTTTCATTGGGAATGAGCCCCTAATGTATAAGTATACCATGTGACATGTCAAGGGCCCAACTGTTCCCATTCACTTTCACTTTCACTTTCCAGGTCTCTCAAGCTGTACAGTTCCTGCATGAGTTAGGAAGCCTGCAGCATTTTGACAACAATTTCCTCAAGTCACATGTGGTTATCAACCCCCAGTGGATTGTGGACGTGATGTCCTGTGTGGTGTCTGTCAATGACTCGCACATTAAGGTGGGTGGTATGGAACTGTTTTAATGCACTTTTATAACATATACTGGTATTGTGACAGGGAATTTTCTGACCAGCCTAAAACGGTGTGTGCCAGAAACTTTTTAGTGTACTAGAACCACTAGAACTTTAGATAAGATAAGACTTTGAGTGGGGTTTTATGTTTAAAACTTGAAAAAAAACCAACAGCTCATACGTATAAAATGTTAGTCATTAATTTGAAAACTTGTGAAGAAAATGTAAATAATGTCACACTATAATTTGTGCATAATATATCCTTTTGTTTACATATGGATTGCATGGCTCAGTGGCACATGCATGGAAAAATTGCCTCATTACTTTCCCTTCAAAATTTTTATCCCTGAAACATTGATTTTTCTATATTAGGATGGCTACTTCAACCACACAGACATTCCCAAAGTTTGGGAGGATTATCCCGCAGATCTCCACTGGTGGCTTCTTCGTCTCACAGAGGAGTATGATCTGACTTTCCAACTCCCGGACAAACCAGTCAACCTGGTGCCATGCCTTCTCCCTGAGAAACAGCCTCACTTTGATTGGCCAGAACTTGACAGAGAAAATGGAGAAAGAGAGGCAAAGATGATTTACAAGTTTGATTACTTGCCTGCTGGGTTGTTTAACCGAGCACAGGTGAGAGAGAATTTTTGAGATTTTTTTACCTGGATATTTATAGGCCTAAGCTAGACTAGACTGGTTTTCAAAAATATTTGGCAACATGACGTTGTATATGCAGTTTCATTTTAGCATGAGTAGTGTTACTTAATCAACTACTTACCATTTTTTCCTTGTAGGTACGACTGTATGAGTTCTCTGATAGCTCTGTGATCTGGAAGAGGGGCTCTAGGCTGAAGAAGAATGACCACATTGCTCTCCTCACTCAATTTAGGTAATGACTAGATTTGGACAATACCAGTACTTCAAAAAGGCATTACTGTATTGTGATTACATAGAAAATTTTTCAGTGTTTTAAATGTGATAGTGTCTAAAATGCTTTAGTGCAGATTGGGTAATTTTGCAATTTTTGAAGTGAATTAAGCTGTACAGTCTACAACCCACATACAGCATTATGCCTCAAATTATCTTTCACATTTCATTTCTTGTCTAGTTCTTTTAAATTTATTTATTTTGCTTGTTTTCAGAGACTCAGAGCTGCACGTGAAAGTCCAGGGAACAACTCCAGAAAATGTCCTCTTCCTGGTCCATGAGGTGTTTGAGGGGCTGATCACAGAGTCTTTCCAGGGGGTGGTGTACGACTACCTCATGCCCTGTCCAGACTGTTCCAAGGCTGTAAGTGTAAAAACATGGCCTGAGGGGTCATCCATTTTTATCATAAGTTTTTCACAAAGTCTACAAACCTACAAATAGTACGCTGGGGGAAGGGGGTGAATGCCCACCATGTGCTCTGTATGCTTATGGAAAAGTGATGTGGGAAGTCTCTTGGCTTGAATTGCATGTACACAAAAAAATTTTGGCTGGCTCATTTTCACAAAGAGTTAACTTTTTCCAGACACCCCCCCCCCCCCCCCACACCCAACCCCCTGTTCAGAAAAAAACAGTGTATGGTGATAAAATTTCAGTGTATTAGTGACTCTCATAGTGAATCATGGGGCAATTTATTTTTTCCATAAAAACAAATGAATTATTATAAAAGAATTAATGATCCGTGTTCAATTTTCCAGCATGCCCGTGACCCTCACATGTTTTCAGCCTCCTCCATCAGAAGAGCTACACAACTAAAGGCACCTTTCCTGCAGTGTACCAAGTATTTCCATGTCATACCCCTGACAGATCTGCATAGTAAGTTTTATATTGCAGTTAAGATATAGCCATGTTTTTATTATTAAAAATAATAATAATAATAATAATAATAATAATAATAATAATAATAATAATAATAATAATGTGTCTTTACATGAACGCGTAGATAAAAAAGATCTACAGTTGATTGAGTATTTAAATGATTGATTGTTTTAAATAATTCATCATTCCTTAATTTGTTTATTCACTTATTCTTTTATTTGCAAATTGCTATGAAAATATTATCAATTTATTTCAGGTATGATGCCCCCAGAGAGCAGCACAGACTATGACCTGCAGCTTGTGCAGACTGTGAGAGGATTGACTGACCTGAGGAAAGACATGTCAGCAGGTAATGTGCTGTTGTCTCAACCAGCTTGGCACAACTAACACATTCACCTCCAGTGCCTTTCACAACTATTGCAACAGTTTGCTTAGTGTTTGTCATAATAAGTAAGAGCATGGGAAAAGCATTTTCGTTTTGTCAACGGGTGTGTTATTCAAATAAACACCCATAACTATACAATGACGTACTTTTGGCAATTGAAATGTTAAATTGTTGAGTTTGTTTTCAGATATCTTTATCTCATACTGTGCAAAAGATGTTCCAAAGAAAAGTGAGAAACGTGTGGCCCCAGTGGATGTCTGCAGAGACTTGGAAGAGGCAGGATATAGATGGTGGGTTAAGATAATTCGCTTTTCCTTTTAAATTTCATGATCATTTTGATTTTAAAATCATTATTATTATTGAAATTCTGTATAATGTGCATGTATAAGGTCTTTGAAAATTGAAATCACAAATTGAAACTTTCAATCACATGGCATGCTAACTCTGTTTAACAGTCCATTTGTTCCACAAATAGTGTTTTTTTTTTAATCCCCAAAATAACAGTCATTGTGCAATGACCATTTGCATGGTTTCCAGTTGGATGGCACAGTGATTGGTACCTGTATAGACCAGTTGTGAGCTAACCACTTTATTTTTTCTCTTTTTCTTTAGCTGGTTCCAGGAGGACCCCAGTTCCCAGAGCCTAGAGGTAACAGCCATCGCTCTACGAGATGCCCGGGTATTCCTGGCCTGTATATCTGACAACTATATTGAAGACCAAGACTGCTGTGCAATGTTCAAGTATGCCTGCACTACACTCAGGAAGAGCATTGTGCTGGTTGTGCTAGGGGATAGCATGAACTGGCAGACCAGTCAGATTGGATTATTGGTTGCAGGAGAGGTAGGTTATGGGAGTGTGTTAGGTGTGACCGTTGAAATGTGTTAGGTGTGACAGTGCAAATTGTGTCAGAATGTTAAAGGGATAATAACTCTTCGTTTCGGCCAAAAAAAATAATTTTCCTGGAGTAAACAACAATTTTCCCATACTTACCAATGGTTAATGAAGCCATATTTACATTCAAAGTAAGTCCCTGTTTTTTTCTCAAAAGTTTGTTTTTTTTTTTTTTGTTAAAATCTCTTAAGAGATTTTAACAGAGTATAGCCATCAATGGAGGTCACGTGGTCTAAAGACAAGCTCAGATATCAGAATAATAGCTATAACTGCCGTTTTTGTGGTAAAACAGAATATATTATATTTCTATGAGTTATTCACAATGTTTTTATTGTGAAATATAGACCTCATATGAAGAGTTATTATCCCTTTAAGTGTGACATTGAAAAAAATATCAGCTGTCTGTTTATTAGTGTTAAATAAGTATACATGTAAAATTTATGCATTGCACAACACATTACTGGCAGTACGAAGCAGTATAAGACTATGTATTATTTTTCAATAACTTGATGCAGAAAACCATTAGTGTTTTTTACATTGTCAGAATGACAAATTTTACAAATTTTAGTATTTTGTACTTTGATAACTTTTTTGTCCCTTTTACTATATTTTGACTCTGTATCCCAAATGCATTTAAATGAACTCTCAATCTTTTGTTGTTCTAGGTTTATGTGAATATGCAGCAGAAGGACAAGTACACATCCAAGCTGGAAGAACTGGCAAAGAAACTGGATATGAACACACTTTTAAAGAAAGACGAAGCCATTGATTACCCACCAGTGTTCATCAGCTATGCTTGGGCCAACTCTGCTCGTGCTGTTGAGTTAGGGACCCCAGAGAAAGAGGGCGCTGCAGGCTTTGGTGATCCAAGAGACTACAAAGACTTCCTGGAGAAGAATGGGATCAAGTGCTGGCTTGATGTTGAACAAGTTGGAGCTGTAAGTGTTATTGCAGTTATTCAGCTTACAAACTGTCGCAAATTGCTCTGTCACACCTAACACACTGGAACATTCTGTACTGTCACATCTAACACACTGACTTTCTGAACTATTTGTCATTCTTTTATTAAGCTAATCATTTAATTTATTCATTCATATTATTAGGTAAGATGATGAATCACACATTTATAACATAAATATAAGTTAGCAAAAAGGTTCATTAGCTTGGTTGTTGGATAAATATGAAAATTCTCAGACACAAGCCTAAAATTTTCCGTACCGTTAGCTTACGGCCAACCTGGTCGAAGGCCTTCATCAGACTGACGTGAGTAGTCTACTCAAAAACTACTCACGTCAGTCTGATGAAGGCCTTCGACCAGGTTGGCCGTAAGCTAACGGTACGGAAAATTTTAGGCTTGTGTCTGAGAATTTTCATATTTATATATATAAGTTATAACTCAAAGAACACTCATTTTTCACCTTCAGAATGGTCTGTTTGAAGACATAGCAGTGGGTCTCCAGAATGCCAAACTGGTGGTGGCCTGTATATCTGATCAGTATGCTGAGTCCACCAACTGTAATATGGAGTTCCGCTTTGCCAAGACTGCCCTGAACCTGCCCATTATTGTGGTGACAGTAGGCAGGGGACAGATGTGGAGGAAGTCTGAGGTGAGTGTTGTCCTGCTTGTGTTTTTATTTCTGATTGTTTTTGTATGACAATCATGGTTGGAAGTTTTCAGGATTGTGTCTGATTTCAGGATTTTTAGTCTTCATTTTGATCTTTTTTTTTTCATTTAGTCTAAGTACAATAAGAAATTGCAAGGTATGTTTTGGGGATTTTCAGTTTTAATACCTTTCACCTGTGATTATTTATGACACCATATCCACCATATAACAATGATCATCATAATGCATTGTTACAATTATTATCCTCCTTTTTATCCTTTTTAAACACACTGTTGCTCTGAACATCACACATGGTTATTTTTCAATATAAGGTTGGAATACCAGTGACATCATTTCTTCCTATTTTCTTACAACTGAAAACAATGTCATACTTGATAACATAATGTTAACATGTACCTAATTACAGGTGGGCATGTTGTCCATTAACTACCCAGTGGTCAGCCATGATGATACTGACCAGCTGCTGAAGCTAGTCAAGGAAAATTTACCAAGTGAGGTGCAGCAACCAGTCTCCAACGAGACCAAAGAGAAGAAGAAGGAGAAGGAGCAGGCCAACCAACAACAGAAGAATACATCTTTCCAGGTAGAAAAGACGCACTTTGCCTGTGTTTTTTAGCCAAATGTCTGCAGTTTTGCAGAGGAAGCCACAATGTGTCACAAATTAATGCTAAAAATACCAATTTAAGCTGATATTTACTACATTTCTGAATCATTTCTGATGTACTTCTTTTCCTTTCATAGGAACTGTATGAACTTGCCCAGAGAAAGTTCTTACGTCAGGTTGCCAAACTAGCTGACTCATTCAACATGGAGGCATACCCACGGCTGGTGGTCATAGACCATATGGCCACTGAAGAGACAGAAGAGGGTAAAATAGTTGAACAAGAATAGGAGCATTGTCTTTACACAAAGATGTTAAGATTATTACAGTTCAATGACTCGTCTGGCAATCCTTAGCTGGTGCTGCTCAAAAATTATGTGAATACGAGTGCCAAATGTTATTCAATTAGACCAAAAATATCTATAATAGTAAGTTTTTCTTTCCCTTTTGAATTTTGACCCTTTTTTTATTTATTTATTTTTTTAACAGGAGAAAAAGAATCTGAGAAAGAAAACAGCAAAGATGCAGAAAAAGATGAGGAGAAAGAAAAAGATGAAGAAAGGAAACTTTCCACACCTCACGCCTTCAGTAAAATAAAGAAAGATCACCCACATGGACACAAGCATTGCTATCGGGTGCTGTGTGAACATGAACAGGTATGTCAATTCATACAGGTGCTTTGATGTTACTGTATTGGTTCTGAAACATCTCACTAGAAGAGATTTAGTTGATTCAGCATTTAGTTGATTTGTAGTAAGAGTAGGTTTGGGTGGGCTTTAGTGTTATATCCCCAGCATAATATGAATTTTGCTATATGTTGAGACATTTGGAAATTAAAGCAAAGTTTAAAAAAACTGAGTTTCCAAGAAATTGCAAAAATTCTTTATTTAAAATACCAAATATTTACTTAAGTTTTTTACTATTTTATTTGATAAATTAGTGAAATTGAAACAATTAAGTACAAATTGTATGCAAGGAATTGGCTTTTGAGAGAGTAGTGAAAACCAGCATGTTCTCCATGAATTTGATTTTTTTCTATGAAGGCCTGGCATATTACTGGAGACAGCTTATATACCCTAATATGATTGATACCTTAATTTACCTGAATGTACAAAGTGCAGGATTTGTCATCATAAATAATTAGTTCAGTTGAGATACTGGCACATTGTATTAATGGTGATTTGGTACATGTTCTGTATGATACCCTTTTGCTCATATTGATTATCCACTTTATCACTCAGTTTAATTGTTACAGTAGGCTTTCCATATCACAAATAATCTTTGCCATATGGTACTGTCATGCACAAACCACAGTGTATATTATCCATAATTTGAATTGACATTTTGATTTCAGGGCTGGCATGTTGCTGGTGATCCCATACCTGCTCCAAACATGAATGATACGTTCCTGCACAAGTTGATTCCGTATCTGGCCCGCATCATGGCCATTGTGAAGCACAGCAAGCACATTACACTGAACTGCATCAGTGGAGAGGAGGGAGAACAGTTCCTCAAATGGCTGGAAGAGGTAGGATGGAAGGCAGTGCACAGGCCTGTAACCAGGGGGTGGGGGGGTGAACAAACTGCCCTTTTTTGCCTGGAAAAGGTCCATTCTGGTTAAATTTTTATCTAGGCACACAGAGATCTCATGGTAAAAGGTCCACTTTTTCTGAAAAAAGACCCCCACCTCCCCCTTGAAATTCCTGGCTACAGGCCTATGATTAACTCAAACATGCGGTTGATGATTACAACCTCTAAACCAAGAAGTTTGAAAAAGACTGATTATTTTACATATGTAATTTAAGATCATTTCTAGTCAAGTTTTAATTGGTAACCTTGTACAGGCTGACCTTTGAACTTCAAAAGTTAAAGAAGCTTTACCGGGACTTGTGTCTAGTTCCAAACATACATATACAAATAAAAATCAAAACATTTTACCCAAGTTATCTCTGAATTAAATCGTGCAAGATGCCTTTTTGTAGTAAAAAGATGTTTGATATTTTAGACACCTAGAAATGCTGTATCAGAGTGGCAGGATGTCTACAGAGATCTCCTCCAGGAAGTATTGAAAGCTGATAAAGACAGCACAATGGCAGGTCTGGCAAGGTGAGAGAATTCCCCCTAAGTCTTACAATCTCATGTTTTGTCCACTAGATGGTGCTTGGTGGAGTGTGTGGCAAGATGTTCAGAATTTTCCACGAGCAAGATAAGCGTAGCATTAAAAAGAGTCATCATTAAAGTTAAGTTATATTTATGTCTTGTCATTACTCCGTGTAATATAGATTACATCTTTTTTTCTAGATACTTTCTACATTAGCATTTTAATTAGATTCCACCCTCAGACTTCATATTTTTAATTTTCCAGATGTCACCTGCCTAGTGGTAAAGTGGCCTGGCTGTGTGAAGGGCACCGTTCTCAAGGTCGCATCACCGTCCTTAGCTCCACTGGCAGCTCAGCTGTGTCAGCGCCAGATGCCGGGAAAGAGAACTTTATGTTGAAAGCATTAATGGCTCCTGACAACCAGCTGACACTTAAGTACAAGGCACACAATGAGACACAGATGGCAGGTGAGCTTTGATTGAAGTGCACTGCAGCTGAATTGTGTTATTCTGTAATGTGAGTTGTCATTGTGTTAGTTGTGACATGGTTGAGACAAGATTGTGTGTTATTTAAGTTGTGCTAGGTATGACGTGGTTGAGACAAGATTGTGTGCTATTTATGTTGTGTTAGGTGTGACGTGGTTGAGACAAGATTGTGTGCTATTCATGTTGTGTTGGCTGTGACTGTTAGCAATTAAATTGTTTAGGGTTCTTGTATTTTGTTACCTGTAATAAGATTGTGATTACAGGTTCATTTTTTATTTTTTTAACTATGAATAGTTTCTCTAAAACATGACTATTTCATTTTTTAAAGAAGTTATAGATTTTAAGTAGGGTAATTTGGCAAAAATACTGACAAAATTGACCTTTTTAGTCAGTAATAAAGATATATTGCAAGTTTTGATGTATTCAAATCAAAAATCAGTGTCGTATTTATCACATCACTTTTATTTCAGCTGCGATGAAAGACAAAAAGAAGGCTGAGACAACACAAAAACCTAAGTCAGGAAAAACAGCTCGTCCCTCAGAGACAGGACCCCCCAGTGTCAACCCATTGGTGGCAGCTACGGCGAATGCCATGACACTTGACGCTGTGCAGAGGACAGCAGCAACAGGCAACAACAGCCAGAGAACTAAAGCCAGATTCAAGGCTGCAGGCATAGTGGCTGCAGTAGCTGGTCAGAAGAGAAACTCCAGCCAAACTTGTGTTATTTTATAGAAAAAGTATGGTTTGTAGTGAAAGTTTGTTGTAATGATGAAACTAAAGTTTGGATGCTTACATGTTTTATTTGGCAGTCCCGATGTTCTTTGCAGGCCATGCAGAGATCTATTCAAGGATTAATTTTCTGTTTCAGAGAGTCGTGCTGTTCACTGTTTTCAGGCAGTCGTGCATTTTGTTGCAAATCATAATTTTATGTTTTACAGCATTTCCAAATAAAATGTTGGTTGCAACCTGGAATTTACAACAGCTGGGCATGGACTATGTATATTTTTATGCACATCTGCAGTAGATCCAGTTAGATATGTATTCCTGGATATACATATTTAAATTAGTCTATGTCGAAGGAGATTTTAAACTGATTCAGAGATATTTTTCATACATATGAGGCTTAGATGTGTTCAAATGCTACAGTTATTGGACAATTTATATGAATGGTCAATATTTTTTGATTAAAAGGATTTTCTTAACTTTGGGGGCTTTTCATATATTACATACTCTTCATATACAGGTGTGAATAAACATTCCGTCCATTAAAAAACACAGGTCTCTTCTCTGTGATACAGTGCATTTTTGCATTCAGAGTATCTTTTATATTATAGCATGAATTATAAATGATTCCCACTTTTTATATGTACTTTGCTTTTTAGAAGTGATTTTGTATTTTATCATCATATTACTATGTATTTCTCCTGTTTACAAATGTTATAGATTTCAGAAATTTCTGTGATATTTTGTCTGCATTGATTTGATAACAATCAAAAGTCATTGAATACTCATTTTGCATTGGTTATTATAGATTTTTGTCTTTTGTGGTAGACCACATATTATTAAATGAAAACACTTACTAATACTTGGTTTAGTTTAGTTATGTGTGTCTAAACAATACTTCTGAATTATTAATAAAACTGATTTTAGCGTGTGGAATTGGAATTTGATGATAAATATGTGCCATGGTTTATGTCTACATAGCTGTATGAGATTGTGCGTTCAGCTATATAGTAACAGGTAGTATTTCTATTGTGATGCTAATTATTTTATTAAAGTGGAAAGCTAAGATGGGTGTTTAGACTCAGAAGATGCTGTGATGAAGGTAGTGCACAGGGTGCAACTTGTTTCAGCTCCCTGGAGCTTTATTGTATATAATCTCTGTTTACATCAAGGTTGACTTTAAACCATAAATTGACTAAACTGCATCAAATCGTGCCATCATAAGATCAGGTTACATACAGTACAAACCGTTAGGGACTGCATTTTTTTAAAATGCTTTATTGAGTGGTATAATTGTCTTTTCACGTCAATAAATCTATTTCTTTTCTACACTCGTCTTTTATTGTGTTAAATTTGATACTTGCTGATATCCTAATGGACTGGGTATCCTTAGTGGGAGAGTGCTCCATTATCAGTGTGGGAGGCTGTGGGTTTGCTACTTAAGAAAGGTCACACCAGGCTGCTTGAAAGAGTTGATTTCGGATAGATAAAAGAAAGAAAGACGCCTTGGAGGGGTGCTATCATTATCACATTATTGGGTAATGTTGCACTGGCACAAGTAAATGCACTGTCTGCTTTATGTTTTATTCCATCAGCTTGCCTCGTCTGAACACGATGCCAGAAGGCTGTGGGTACTGGGCTTTTCATCCCTTACTTCAACGTTAAAACGCCGCTTGCTTTGTTAGGAAATTATCACAACATAATGATGACCTTTATTCATGTATCGTTATTATATAACACATCACATTTGCATAAAATAAATCCAAGTCCAGGAAAAAAGTTTAGCAGTTTATTTAAGTTAAAATAATAATAAACGTATATCGCGATGTTTTTTTTTATCACTTAATATTAAATTTTGTATTTTAATATGATTGTCGCTGCAGAATTTATTGGTAAGGTTCACATTTACTTTTTTTTACTGATACTTTAATGTTATTCATACACCGCCTTGTTCCGTAAACGTAGATAATACCGTTCCATCCATTTAGACCCACAGTAAACTAAAACATTGCCATATTTTGATCATAAACGGTCGCATTCTGGTTACGAGTTGTTTAAGTAAAGATAGATACAGTTATTCTTCTCTTTAAATGTCTTTTAAACATGTCTTTGCTAGAGCGTTTCTAAACCTCAATTCAACAGTGCATTATCAGTAAGGCCTCATTCCCACTGACACCACCAGTCTACGTGGATCGATCTAACTTCGCAGGAACTCTCGTTGATTGCAATCAACTTAACAGATTAAGACACCTCCTCCTGGCGTTGAGTAGAATACAGAAAAGCTGCAGATTATACGAGTACGCTGGAAACAGGACGAGGTGTCTTAATCTGCTTATCTGATTTACAGAGTCCCAACTCAATTGGATCGATCTCAGGGGCGGATCTGGGATTATTTGAGGGAGAGGGCGGATCCGCCCTCACCCCCCCCCCCCTCCCTTGGCTAAACGGCTCCAATAATTTTTGGTATTTTAGAGGGTGAAAGGTGTCATTTTAGGGTACAGTATAGAGCTATGATTTAGCTAGCCAAAATTCTAATTTCAAGATGTGAATATTGGTGTGATTTTTTCAGAAATCGACGGGGTGGGGGGGGGGGGGGTCAGGACCCCCTAAGTCTGCCAAGGAATCTTCACGTAGGACGATGGTGTGTATGTGGGAATGGGGTCTTCAAATAGCTTTTATTAACTACATTGTATTTACAAATTATCTTTTCTGAACTTGAAACAGATCACTAACTGGACGTCTTTGGGTCCATAATCAATTAAAATGTTGCATCTTATGAGTCAAGACGTACCTTGTTGTTTATAGAACTCCCGACGAAAAGCACCAGCTCAGTACTGTACTTATAGTATGATCTCTTCATTAATTAAATAATTAATATACTACAAACTACTATATACCACATGCAACAGATTACCCACACACAGATACCAGTAGAAACGGATATCAAAGGCTTTAAAAAATACTTCTATAGTAGGTATACCTATCTAAACATTACAGTATACACGCTGCACCAGTACCCTGTTTTGGGTTATATTGTCCGTTTTCTGATATCCTTCTGGATAACAAATGGTATAATAATATCACGGTTTTCAGATACATTTGTCTTTATAAGCATGAACTACTGTATGGTAGTTTTTACATAAATTTACCCACCGGAACTTTTACAAGCATGAACTCTAGATGAAAAACGCAATTTTAGTTCATATTTAAAACAAAGCTAACGATTATGACCTAAAAGCAAAACAAATTAAACATCATATGTTATACCTAATCGGTATAATACCAAAAACTGATCGTTTGCAATTACAATATTAGATTCTTCAAGCTTTAAGTTATTGCCACTTCAACATTTCAAAGTCTAACAATTCTAAATGTTTAAAAATCACGTTTTAAGAGAATTAGGCTAAGCATGGGTGTTCTTGGTGTTGTATTGTGCATGTGTAGTAGCCTCAACCTGAGGAATGCTATAATTTCTCCTTCCCGCCCCTTGTTAGACACTGATATTTTGCAGTGGTAATAACTCCCACTTTTAAATCACTAATTCAAATAAACCAAGCTGTGTCAGATAATTGCTTTTATCGATGACAGTGCCGTACTTTGCATTTAACCTAAAACCGCAGAAATCAAGTCTCAAATATACGAGTTCATGTAATAGTAGGCCTACACGAGTTTTATTTCACATCTGACCTTGAATTTTTTGAATACCTATAAGATCTCCATAACCCTATAAAATGCCCGCAGGTGTATTTATTTGTTACCACAAACTCCCAGTTTTCTCTCTTCGTCATAATGTCATGGCAAAAATACCTCCAACAAGAAACGGCAAGAACCCGACGACATGTTGAGAAGCACCGAGTCCTAAGGCCGCGGCGGCGTTCACGTCTGTGACGGAAGCTACATTGGTCTTCCCTGCAACGGACATATGTAATGATCAGGTGTGTTATTCATACAAAAAACATGCTATTGCTCCTAAATAATACTGCTGAAAACGTTTAACTCAAGATTACAACAGGGTCAAATAGAGAAACAGCACCGAAACCCGATCAAAAATATAGCATGGATCAACAAGGATAATATGGAAGACTGTCAGAAAATATCTCAGGATCGGTCACTGCCTACCTTGGTTCCGTCTAACTCTGGCGGTGGTCAGTTCCCGGGTGGCCATTCTGGGGTCCACCTCTGGGCAGTAAGACCCTGTCGTTTCTTTACATTCTTTGTATTTGGCCTTGTATTCTTTGCCACTGGCCAAGATCAGGGTATTGAGCGAGGTTTGACTCAGTGACTGGCAGGTGTTATACACCTTGTTAAGGCACTCGACTGTGAGTTCGTAGGCCCTGAAATTCAAAGTAAAAAGGAAAATATATTTTTTTAAATTATTATAAAATGTGGTGTTGAAAGAAAATGTTTTGGTTGAAATTTGAATACGCCGGCAAGATTCGGGGAATAAATGGAATATCCCCAACCCCGGTGCACTTGCTGACTGTGGTGGGGCTAATTTTGCCAGAGAAGGGCCAACTTAAATATTATTGAAACAGACCTTTTATAAATAAGAAGATGTCGACCAGAGGTATGATATGTATGATATAACAGGATAACATCGCGGTCGTGACGAGAACTAACTTGGAGACGGGCCCGGTATGAAACGCTCTAGGAGAGACCACTCAGATTGCATACTTTGTTTTAAGCCTTTTTTTTTTAGGAGAGTTTGCCAACATCCAGGGAGATTGGTTTTGATTGGCTTTGAATACCATGGTCTCAAACACAAGATTTATCGTTGATTAAAAAGAGTTTTTTATCCCATAATCTATAACCATGGACCAAAAAGGATTTTGTGTGGGATCGCTTGGCACCGCAATGATTTGTTTGCAGTCTTGAGGGTCTTGACCGTAAGCGTCCTTCATGAGAGAGAGAGAGAGAGAGAGAGAGAGAGAGAGAGAGAGAGATGACTCACCTGCAGCTGCAAGGGTGCTTTTCCTCCACTACGGTTCCGAGCACCAGGTGCGCTGTCGTGGTGATATTTAAGTGGAGACGGCGACACTGGACGACGTCGCAATCACTAGGGAGGCAGGAAGACACGTGAAACACTGAAGAGAGAAACATATAAATCACCTAATATATATATATATATATATGATGTCCAGAATAATTACGGAAAAATAATTGTTTACTAAATAATTGTTTTGCCGAAGACCTTTTATCAATAAGAGAAAAGCTAATAACTCGCCTCTCTCTCTCTCTCTCGCTGCACTTTTGCTCTAATGAAGATAAATGGAATGACAATAGAATTAATTCAAGATGACGCCATGTTAATCTGAAATGAGCCGCAACTCAACAAATTTGTATTCGGCGAAGCTAAACCGACCAACTTGTCAGAAAAATCAATCGACGCAGTTTATCCATTCCTATCAACTCATTGGCGGTCGTGTTTGTTTAATATTTCCTCATCCATTTAAGGTTTGATAATTACTACAAGAACTTTAAGAATAAGAACGAAGAAAACTGAATTAAACGAAAATCCGTTGCAGTGCAATATGGTAATTCCTGTGTTACTCAATATATACATTCCACCAAATCAAAATTAACGTAAGCCCCAGCGCTGAGTCGCTGCTATTGTTAGAGGGTTCTTTGGTTTAATTTATCCAGTTCTTCCCTAACCCTCCCCCCTTAACTTCCTATGTAAATGCACAGAAAGAAGAGAGCAGGTGCGTTATTACACGTATAAACTTATCGCCAGTGCGTAGAATTACGCCACGACCCCCCCCTCCCGACCCAAACAGGACAGCACTCCAAGCACTTCACGACTGAAGTAATAAGGCTGATGTTTGCAATGCATGTCAAGAATCCTAACTTGAATAGTATTCTCTGTATTTACAAAAGGGTGGGCAGTTCCTCATTCCAGTAAGGCTTATTTCCACATCAATAAAATGACTTGGATAGAAATAATGAACATGGCGTGCTCGCACAAGCAAATTCCCAGACAGGCATTCACATCTAAATCGTCCTGGCGCTAAATCTATCACAAAATCTCTAAATTTAAAGCTGTGGGGATCAAAACCCTAGACGAATTACCGTAACTCATCCCTGGACTTGACAACCAATTTGAATTTGATACTCAGACGAGCAATGGTTGTGGCGGCATCGGGTAGATGGGCATATAGGATAACCACAACATTAAATCACCAGGTTTATCCCAATACCTATAAAAGTTCTGTGTCATTGCCCCACGGAATCTAAGCCTTAATTGTGTTGAATTACGATGCTATACATTTGTCGTCAGGAAGTGATTAAACGCCGCAGTAAACTATAGTTACGAGCAAACTTGACCAGTCACTATATAGCTACTGTTGAAGTCAAAGTGGTTGTTTTAGCAGTTCTATACGTAGGCCTACATCCCACATGAGTACGTTAAGGTGCGGAGTTCTTTGTTATTAATATTCTATTTAACTTAAAAACTTTGAAATGTTAGATCCGCTTATGTTAACACCTTGTGTGTGAATATACTTCTTCACTGACAAAAAACGGCAGTGTTTTCATATTTTTAACATTGCATGTTAGAATTATCCTGAAACAAGCAAACAAACAAGCAAAAAAAATTAAGAGTTAAAACCAGATTTCGCAAAACTGTTTTAAGTAGCGGCGCTGCGCGATCGATTTTTGTGGGACGTTATTGCTGAATGGTCAATACATATATTATTATTATTATTATTATTATTAAATGTTTTGCTGGGCTACTGCAATTAAAATAGTAACAGCAGCCTTTTTTACTCGAGTCGCGGATTCACTTGCAGTAAACTCAGTCGGAATGATAATATGTTGTCGCGTGGGTTGTCTTTAAAACTATGTACTTCACAGTGTTTTTGCCCCCAAATTATACTACCGAGTTCATTGCCCGTTTGATTTAATTATTGCCCAGCTGAGTTAGAGCATATTGCCTACGGATATAAGTTTAAAAAGAAACAATGCTAACAGTGGGAAGCAATTTGAAATCCCAAAAGACAGAAAAATAAATATGGTGCTTATTAACTTTTTCTGTAATAATTGAATGTCAAAATGCCAGTTATACAAAAAAGCATTTCTTTTTCTTCCTTTGAATATTAGCAATATTAGAAATAGGGGTCGACATTTAAATGTATTTTCAAAAACTACACTGGATAAAAAATGATCGTTTGAGATTTCATGATTTAATATTTTCACAGGCAACTTATGTAACATCGTAGGCTAACAGACTCCCCTTGAAAGGAATTGGCTTTTACGGAATAACCCATTTTGGGTTTTTATATGGTTTTGTATGTGGGGGTGGAGACGAGGGCGAGGGAAGGAGGCAAAGAGAGGATAAGTTATATTGATAATGATACATATCATATTATAACTTAAAACATTCATAATAATAAAGAATATAGACTATAATATGATACATATCATATTATAATTTATATTCATTATTCTTATAAATATTGTGTATATGGTATTGCGGTTCTGTACAAAATGGCAGCAGAAGGTCATCAAAGCCATTGCACTCGCTGTATCCCAAATGTGACTGCATTTGAAGTGTAGGTACAGTGCATGTTGGCGCTCATTGCAAAGACGTGTCACTGACGCGTGCTCTTGTTAGTATATTAATAACTATATTTGAACATCCTACATGGGTGGCAAGCGTCTCTAACTAACTTCCATTCAATTTGTTCACGGTGAAGCCAAATTGGGCAACAAAATAATAAAAGGCCCGTTTTCCTAACTCTATCTGACATGTGGAAATTATTACTCTTTGCTCTTTTACAGTCCAACAAAGTGAATTATCAAATATTCCCTTTAAATTTTGCCACTGTCCTCGAATTCAGGTATTGATTGGTAAAAATGAGGTAGTTAATTCCAGTAACCAGAGAATCAGTTGTATGAGGTGATTGATGTCGGTGCCAAGGATGGGGTCTCATCTCGTATATCATAGCAAATCCTTCGTCGTTGTCAGTGCAGTTACGCAACGTACATCTCACGAAATGCGCATTGACAGGTTTATTCCAATCGATGCGGACTTTAAAATGTTTAGATAGTGATGAAACTACCGCCTCCATCGTGGTATCATATCTGATTTTTATGCTAAATTTGCTTTGTATTCTATCTACGGAAATGTCGACACTTTAGCTACAGTGTGGAATTTTTTTCTTTGTATTAGACAATATGGTATTTCAATAGTAATCTGCTTAGTTATGCATTGGTTTTGATTGCATTGAGTACTTTCATTATTGATTCAGGTTTCTATCTCATTACGAGTGTCTCTCCGTCGCAAAACACTTTTATGTACAAAATTACTTACCATACAAAATTTATTTAAGTAGAGCATATAGAGGACCCTGCTTTTTCGTATAATTGATTTTTAAATCCGGTCGATTATTTATATCAGTAATGTTTGGTTTGGTACAGATAGAAATCAGAATCGAAATGAAGGCAAATGGAATCGAGTGCGTAGGTGCGTAGTTCCAGAATCCTCCATCTGAGTATTTCTGTTGTCACGTAAGTGCTTCAGTCATACTCCCTGCTTTTACTTATGAAATTCAATGTATGAATAATAGAAATAAGTGCAGTTGATGAAAACATTTTCTTCCATTCCTTCCCTAGTCCTGAGAAGGGGGAATGTTTTTGTGCACACTATAAGTAAATGTTGTGTTTTTTAAAAAGTGGTTTTCATAAAGGGTTTTATTATTTTCATGAAGCATTAGACTCACAGAAATGAACAGTGAATTTGTATATAAATCAGTATGGAAGACCTGATCATCATAGAGTTCCCTCTCCAGGGGCGGATCCAGAGATATTTTCTGACAGTCTTCCACATTATCTTTGTTGATCCATCCTCCATTTTTGACCGTCTTCCGACAGAAAAAAAATTAGGTACTCATCAATGTAAACTTTAAAATTTGACCGTCTTCCAGAAGACCCAGAAGACAGCCTCAACCTGCCCCTGCTCTCCCCCGGGTACCGTACCTCCAACAACACACACACACACACACACACACACACACACAAGCACGTATACACACACTATCTTATTCAGACATAGAAGGGACTGCTGGCAAATTTTAATTCTATGAACAGGCCACGCCTGGAGAAGATATGCAAATCATCCACAATTCCTCTTGCTGCATCTAAAAGACAAAACAATTACAAGAAAAGCGCCTGATCCTTTCGGTGTCCTTTCATGTGGTAGGTACGCCATAATGCCCTATTACTGAACTTTCGACGATGCTCAGTGAACAGAGAGCAAATAAATGTGTTTGAGTTAAGATACCACGCGACTCTGTTATTGAAATTGATAGTCGGTGTGTAATCAAGCGTTCACCCAATGATCAATAAACCTGCATTTGACATAAATGGAATGCCAGTTGAGCACAGGAATGTGGAGTTATTCTGGTCCTTCATTCGAATATGTGTGAACTGCAAATGATAAAGACGAACTAACAAAAAAGTGTTCTGATTATTCTAAAAATTCGTTGAGTTGCCATCCGTCTGTTCTTATCTGCATTACATGTTGTGCAGTTGTCAAGAATGTATACGTAATATGTACATGATGCTTCCATACGAGCTGCTGTTTTCATTACTGTCAAGAGCATTGGCAACCGACTAAGAAACACTTATCGCCATATCAATCATAAAGAGAAAAAGACGATATATGAACTAAGTGGCATCATTACTTTAGACGGATGTAGACGGAGACAAGATCTGCATTTAGATGTACAGAGTTGGTTACAACATATAATAATAAACAGAACAAAAGTGCCCTTCACAAAATGTAAGTGAACGGCCTTGAATAGCTGACTTCTGTTCAGGAGAAAATCATAGTTTTTACAGATTTGAAGTTTCCCCTGTGATACAGAGTCCGGTTTCCTTTTGATTTGTACAGGTAGGTCATCTCCCACCTACGTCACGCTAACCCTAACCTGTTTGAATCCAACGGACTCTCCGTCACACTGCATTTTACACCGGTCAGCTGTGGTTAATGTGTTTGGTTACTGCGAGTTGTCGCAGTTAACTTCTCGGTTATTTGAAGGAAATACCCTGCACACCGCAGCTGAGAAACTCTACTGAGAAACGT